AATTGATTTTGACTTTAAGAGAAAGCACCGCTCATTATCTACAAATAAAACAATCTTGGAGAATTGTTCTTGTATAGGATAAAATATGCTATGCTATGTGGCCGTCCAAAAGAGGGACACGTGGAACCTAAAACTGGGGATAGCTAAAACCGAAGGCAATTGTCCCGTCTGTCAACGAAAAGAATAAACTCATAAAGATGCAATAAATACTCTTCGTCCGGTAGCATTTAATGGAGAATATTCCACAGCATTTAGTACGCTGCCCGTTACAGAGAATTTATGCTCACCATTACACCCTCTTCAATGGCCCTCATAATTTACATTAAAGAAGGGCATGATCCTAGGACCTTGTTCCCTAGGTGCAACTATAAATAGTGAGTTCAGTTATCATTGTAAGGGGGACGACTTTCTTGGCAAACCTACGCTATAATCAATAAAAAGCTTTATACAATTTTACTTTCCTATTCTTCGTTTTCATCACTGTTGTACCCGGAAGCTCTGCTCCCGAATCATTATTCTTCGTGATTTTATCTTCATTTCAAGCATCAAATTAATTCACTTGTCTAGAAACTACGTATAAATTCAACTGTACCGTTTTACAGAAAAATAGTTTGGCGCCCACCGTGGGGCCTAGACAGTCGTGTAATTAAGTTGATCCTTGTCTTTTTTACTAACGTGTTTTGATTATTCATCTTAGCAAAAAATCATAAGAAAAAGCAGAAAAATGGTGTTAACAACGCACACAATCCTGAGGTTCAAGGAGACCAGCCTCACCTCGAGGATTCAGTCAGTGACACCCACAATGAGGAAAACGATGCCACGCCGATCCACAACAGGCGGTACCCACAACATGTTCGGGAAGCAACCCCCGATGATGCTGAAGAGGAACATGTTGTTGATGCGGTAAGGGTCTTACAAGAACAACAAGCGATCATTCTAGGCCACCTCACGCGATAGGATAAGGTTATGACGGACTTGAAGCAGGCGCTGTCGGGGGCTTCGAATATCGCAAATAGACGAGGTCCGGTTCCTCCCGACGCTCCCGCGAATCAAACAATGCAGAGGATCGGTAACAATACCCCAAGAGGCGAAGTTGGCTCCGATAGGGCTGGGGGGAGCGGATCCGGCCCCAATAAAAAAAACAATCCCTTCAAGAATGAACTCTTACGATTTGTGAGGAAAGTGAACGCCCGCATGGGCCAAATCCCGAGCACACTACCGGTGCTAAAAGGTCCATACTCAAAGAAGTATACTCAATTGCCATACAAGCGAAGTGCGACACCAGAATTAATCCCGAAGCGATTTAAAATGCCTGATGTGCCAAAGTATGACGGAACTTCAGACCCTCAGGAGCATATTACTACTTATACAACGACGGTGAAAGGGAATGATTTAGCTCCTCACGAAATTGAATCTGTTTTGCTGAAGAAATTTGGAGAGACTCTCACGGGGGGAGCCTTGACGTGGTATTCACTATTACCCGAGCTTTCCATAGATTCGTTTGTGATGCTCGCGGATTCTTTTATTAAGTCTCACACCGGGGCCAGAAACGTGCAGGCCCGAAAGGCCGACATATTCATAATTGCACAAGGAGAATCCAAATTACTGCGAGAATTTGTTACCCGATTCCAAAAGGAAAGAATGTTGCTCCCAGCTGTTCCGGATCAATGGGCGGCTGAAGCATTCACCAAGGGACTGAATCCGAGAAGTTCGGACGCTTCCCAGAAATTGAAGGAAAGCCTGCTTGAGTTTCAAGCAACAACTTGGGCGGATGTCCACAACCGGTACGAATCAAAGATAAGGATCGAAGATGATCATGTTGGCTTTCAATCGTCGACAAAAGGATGGGAGAAGAACAGAGGAAAATTAAAAGGCAATCTCGACATGGACAGATGATCTTCGAGGGGCCGATTTTTGCCCTACGAATGGACCGAAGGCCGCGGCAGAGGCTTTCAGTCAGCAGACAGGTTCTCCATTGATAGAAGGATTGATCGTAGTCGGAACAATAGATCATTGCAGGACAAAGAAGCGTCAGGTACGTGGGATCCTTCTTACCCCAAGCTATCAGAATAATATTTCAACGTTAGTGTAGTAGAGTTGGTGTCAGTCATGAGAAACATCAAAGAAGCACGGTTCCCAAAGACAATGAGATCCGATCACAGCTAGAGGGATCCAAACTTGTGGTGTGAATACCACGGGACGAATGGCCACCGGACAGAGGACTGCCGACATCTTCGGGAAGAAATGGCAACACTGGTAAAGAATGGGCATCTCAGAGAATTCTTAAGTGATCAGGCCAAGAATAACTACGGTCGCAACAGGGGTAATGCGGAACCCTCGAAGGCAGGAGAAGATCCTCCTCGACAGAGGATCAACATGATCTTCGGGGGGAATGAAATCAACGGGGTCACCTTCTCAGCAGCAAAAAAGACGAAGGTATCAACAACCCATAGAAAGAGACTTCGGGAAGTTGCTGAAGACGACATCACTTTCACGGAGGAAAACGCATATGGATTGTTGCTACCGCACAACGACGCATTGGTAATTTCTTTAAACGTGCTAGACTTTAAAATCAAACGTGTTCTAGTGTATCCAGGAAGTTCGGGCAATATCATACAATGGAGAGTATTGGAGCAAGCTAAACTCACCGGAAGCATCATTTCGGCCACAAAACTCCTCGCCGGATTCAACCTTGCGAGTGTGACAACCCGAGGAGAAATTTTGTTTCCCACGAATGCTGAGGGAGTGATGAAAATGACTCTTTTTGAAGTGGTAGATGGTGACATGGGATATAATATTATTCTGGGAAGGCCATGGTTGCACGAGATGAGAGTTGTACCATCAACGTATCATCAGCTGCTAAAATTTTCAATGCCCGAGGGAATCAAACAGAAAAAGGGCGATCAACTGGCAACAAGGGAGATGAATGCAATTTTTATTTCCAATAGCAAAGGGAAGGAACATGCGGCATAGCAACTACAGGAACCAGCGCCCGCTTTCGAATCGAATGAAGTTAGCCCATGGGTAGAGGCGTCGGAAGCTTATCAAGTGCAGAAGTATTTGCAAGTACCAGAAGAGACGGATGCAACAAAATCCACATCGGAAGAGGTCGAGCAAGTTGTATTGTTTGAAGAGTTCTTAGAAAGGAAATTCCACTTGGGGACAGGACTACACCCCGAGCTCAGGTCCAGCTTTATTGAATTTCTTAAATTTAATGCCGATTGTTTTGCTTGGTCGCATGCGGACATGACAGGTATCCCAACGGAGGTGGCCGTACAAAATCTATGCTTGGATCACAACGTCCCTCCTTTAAGACAAAAGAAACGCCCTATTACGGAGGGCAGGAATAAATTCGTCAAAGAAGAGGTAACCCGCTTACTTGATATCGGTTCGATCCGAGAGGTAAAGGATCCATACTGGCTAGCTAATGTAGTAGTAGTTCCTAAGAAGAACAATAAATGTCGCATGTGTGTAGATTATAAAGATTTGAATAAGGCATGCCCGAAAGACTCGTTCCCACTGCCAAACATCGACCAAATGATTGATGCTATGGCCTTGCACGAGTTAATGAGTTTCCTCAATGCTTATTCCGGGTACAACCAAATTAATATGAATCCGGAGGATCATGAAAAGACTTCTTTTATTACGAATTTTGGTACATATTGCTATAATGTGATGCCCTTCGGGTTGAAGAACGCTCCAGCCACTTATTAGCGGCTCGTAAACAAGATGTTTGATAAACAAATAGGGAAAACTATGGAAGTTTATATAGACGATATGCTCATTAAGTCTTTGAATGCAGGTTATCACCTTAAGTATCTACAAGAAACTTTTTACATCCTAAGGAAGCACAATATGAAGCTTAACCCCGAGAAGTGCACATTCGGGGTCCGCTCCGGTAAGTTCCTAAGATTGCTGGTATCACAAAGGGGGATTGAGGTAAACCCCGATAATATCAAGGCCATCAAAGACATTCCAGATCAGTTGTCAAGAGTAAAAGAAGTCCAAAGACTCACGGGAAAACTGGCCGCTTTGAGCAGATTCATTTCTCGGTCATCAGAGAAATGCTACCATTTTTTCACTGCTCAAAAAGAAAAATATCTTCGAATGGACACCATAGTGCCAGTAGGCTTTGAGAGATTTAAAAAGGTATTCGTCAAGCCCTCCATTACTTTCGAAACCGAAGGAAGGTGAAACACTGTTGGTATACCTCGCAGTCTCGGAAGTAGCGGTAAGTGCAGTTTTGGTCTGAGAGGACGAAGGTACGCAATCTCCCATTTATTACGTTAGTAAAATTTTAACGGGAACAGAAACTTGCTACCCGCACTTGGAGAAGCTGGCCTTAGCTCTAATAGTCGCCACTCAGAAGCTGAGGACCTACTTCCAATGTCACCCGATAGCTGTGGTGACCACATTTCCCCTGTGGAATATCCTTCACAAACCCAAACTCTCGGGCAGGCTGTCCAAATGGGCCGTCGAATTGAGTGAATTCAACATAGAATATAAACCAAGGACTGCAATTAAGTCACAAGTCTTGGTTGACTTTGTGGCGGATTTCAGTCCGGGATTGCTGCCTCTAACAACCAAAGAGGCAGTTATGGTGTCAGAATCAACATCGGGAGTTGGACCTTATTCATGGACGGAGCCTCCAACGTAAAGGGGTCCGGGCTTAGCATAGTATTAACCACGCCTTTGGGAGAAACCCTAAGGCAAGCCATCAGAACAGTCCCTTTTACAATGAAGCAGAGTATGAGGCTTTAATTACAGGACTCGAACTGGCCCGGGGACTAGATTCCGAGGTCATAGAAATCAAGTGCGACTCACAACTTGTGTTAAATCAGGTCTACGGGATCTTTGAAACCAAAGAGGAGTGCATGCAACAATACGTGGTGAAGGTCCAGGTTCTGCTGGATCGATTTCGGGAGTAGTCGATTAATCACATCCCGAGGGAAGAAAATGCTGAAGCGGATGCACAGGCCAACCTCGGCTCGTTAACGAAAATGAAGGGATCAGAATTCGAGATGGTAGTACAACTGATGCACTCGGTCCTGGATACAGATAGCTATTACGAGGTAAATTCTACTAATTTGGTCTGGGACTGGAGGAATGCGATCATCGATTATCTCGAGCATGGGAAATTGCCCAATGATTCCAAGGCGTCTCAGGCGCTGCGTGTCAAAGCAGCACGGTATAGCTTTAAAGGAGGACAATTGTACAGAAAATCTTTCCAAGGCCCGCTGGCCCGATATTTGGGAGCATCCGAAGCAAATTATGTTATGCGAGAGGTCCACTAAGGTATATGCAGAAACCATTCGGGCGCAGATTATTTATTGTTAAAACTGGTAAGGGCAGGATATTATTGGCCCTGCATGGAACAAGACGCCAAATCTTTCATACAAAAATACGCTAAGTGCCAATGCTACGCATCGCTAGTACATCAACCGACGAAACCACTACATTCAGTCTTGTCTTCATGGCCGTTCATGAAGTGAGGGGATGGACATCGTTGGGCCGCTGCCGCGGACTCCCGGTAAGGTAAGATTTCTATTGATTTTAATTGATTATTTTTCTGAGTGGGTGGAAGCAGGTCCTTATAAGAAGATCGGCAAACGCGAAATGGTGGATTACTTATGGGAAAACATAATCTGCAGGTTTGGAATACCAAAAGAGATAGCACGTGACAATGGGCCGCAATTTATCGGCGCAAATATAACAAAGTTCCTCAAAGATTTGAAACAAAAGAGGATCACATCTTCACCCTATCATCCGAGCACAAATGGTCAAGCGGAATCAACAAACTAAGTGATCATACAAAACCTCAAGAAAAGGTTGGAAGCAGCTAAAGGTAAATGGCCTGAGGAACTACCCGGATTCTTATGGGCCTATCGAACGGTGGCCAAGTCGAGCACGGGGGAAACTCCCTTTTCTCTTGTGTACGGAACTGAAGCCTTGATTCCGGTAGAAGTAGGGGAGCCTATCTTAAGGTATTTCCAGGCAAGCGAAAAAGCAAACAATGAAGCGATGCTGGTCAACTTGGAATTACTCGATGAGCGCAGGGACTTGGCACGTGTAAGGATGGCGGCACAAAAGCAGAGAATGAAAAGATATTATAATTGATAAGCCAACCTTCGTTAATTTAAAGTGGGAGATTTGGTTTTAAGTAAAGTAATCCAAAACACTCGGTAACTCAATGCAGGGAAGTTAGGCCCGACCTGGGAAGGCGCCTACCGGATCTCTACTGTCACGGGGAAAGGTTCGTATGAGTTAGAGAATCAAAATGGAAAAAAATTTCCAAGCAATTGGAATGTGTCACACCTCAAGAGATACTATTGCTGACAATCCTCGTCTGTACTGGAAGTATGCGCTGCACTCTTTTTCCCTTCATCTAGTTTTTGTCCCAATTGGGTTTTTTTGGTAAGGTTTTTAATGAGGCTGCCATGGAAAGCATACTACGAATAAAGTTTCAACGGCAACAATAAGACCTTTAATAGCAAGGCACACAAGCGAAGAGCTACTCAGAGGTGGTTAGATAATCTTTGGCTCTATAGCAAAATTTCCATTGGAAAAATAAGTTTGCTGTAAAGCAAAGATTACCCGACCGTTCATAAGTGCAAACCGTTAGAGGATTGTTAGATAGTCCTTTGCTTGATAACATAAATTCCTAAGGGGAAGTGAAGTTTGTTACCGAGTGGAGGATTGCCTAGAAATTCATTAGTGGGATCCTCGAAGGTGCAAGATTCCCAGTGTTCCAATTTGCATTCTTCGCATTTGAACACTGAGGGGGGGGATGATATGAGAATGCAACAACAATGACTGTCATGTCGATCGGAGCACAAAAATCGAGAATATAATTATGTCATCTGAACCGGGGACGGCGGGGCCAGCCCGTAGAAACAAGATGTACAAATTAGCCACAAGAAATGACAATTTCTCTTTAACATAACGAAAGGAATAAAGTAAAGTGCTTTTATTTTCCATCTTGTTTCTTATCTGATCGATGAATTAATTTTATCATTTGAAAGATAAACAAGTACTTCAAATGCTTATGCCATAATGAATAGGAGACGTCCTCTTCAAGAGCACCGTAAACATAAAAGGGCCCTCTCTTATGAAAACCCTAATGTAAAAGGGTTAATTTTGGAAGAAATTATGCCCGAAATCAAAATGCTTTCGGGAAAAATACACCAAAGGCTTCCCATAATAAGACACAAAGAGTAAAACTTGTGCGAAACTCTTAAGCAAAAAAGAAGAGAATGCAAATATTAAAACATGCATAAATGTTCAAACGAAAGAAAGACTCAAAGAATACTTGAGCAAAAAGATGTTTCTATTTACAATAACATGCCAAAATGGCACAAATACAAGAATTGGAAAAAGAAAAGAAAAGCTAAACTGCTGCATCTCCGGAACCCGGAGGAAGAGAAGTGTCCGCGCCCCCAGGGGAAGTGAATAGATCCGTCGATGGCTCAAAATTTTGGCCCTCTCTAGTTTGGCCTTCAACATCTTCGCCTTCCGCTTCCTCTTCAATTCCCGATGTTTTGGAATCAGAACCGGAAGCAGTAGGCTCTGTCGGGAGACCATTTTTGGCGGCTAACGCGAGCTCATGGGCCTTAGCAATGTAAGCATCAAAGTCAATGATACCAACTTTGGCCTCTTCCAAGGTTTTTCTCCTCATGCTGTACATAGCGTAAGTTTTCTCGACAACGAGGGAAGCCGCTCGACGCTTAAGTTCTTCTTTGAGTTGGGTTACCTCGGCAGAAAGGCTTTCCTGTGAGGATCTAACGGATCTAAGGCTAACATCAAGGTCACGGATAGTTGAACTAGAGAGTCTGTATATTTTCCCAATCTTTCTCTGATGCCAAAGGCTTCAGATAGTTAGCAAGTTCCATTGGTCGAGATAGCAAATTGCATTCGGTGGAGACCGAGAAAGTAACGCTCCTCCTCCTTTGCGGATCTTCTGAGGGAGGAGCATAGTTTTGCCCCTAATTCCCATGAACTGGGGACTGGGGGAGAGGGACACCCTCTTCTCGGGCAGATGCGGCTGGTGGAGATGATGTAGCGGTTGCTGGTGGAAGAGTTGATGAAGGTGGAAATTTTGTAGCAGTTGCTGGTGTTGGTGAAGATGGAGATGAAGTTGATGGATTTGAAGAGTGAGAAGCAGTTGCAACAAACACAGTGTTGGTTGTTGGTTGCTCGTTAGCCGAGGACGGATGGGACCGGGTACTCATGTCACGACCCGAAGTTTCCCACCGACGGGACCATGATGACGCCTAACATTTCACTTGACAGGCAAGCCAACGTTAGAGAATCATTAAACCAATTCCTTATTTCCATTCAGTAAATAACAATAATTAACTAAGATGAAATATAATAAGTGCGGAATATCATAAAACTGTATTAATTACTACCACCCGGATCTGGAGTCACAATTCACGAGTATTCTAGAATTTACTACAAGTAATATTCTGAAAGAAATACAACTGTCTGAATGAAAGAAAACAGTAGGACATAAAAGATAGACGGGGACTTCAAGGTCTGTGAACGCCGACAGATCTGCCTTGAGTCTCCGGACAGCGGACCAATAGCAAAATATCGATCAACCCGAGCCGGTATCAAAATCTGCAATGAAAGTACAGAGTGTAGTATCAGTACAACCGACCCCATGTACTGGTAAGTGTCAAGCCTAACCTCAACGAAGTAGTGACGAGGCTAAGGCAAGGAGCCTATAAATCAACCTGTACAATTTAACAGTGTATATGCAAATAACAGAAATGAAGAACTAAACAGGAAATGTCAAGAGGGGAACATACTGAGGGGAATACAAGATAAAGAACTACAACAGAGTGATCACTGGAGCAGTCAATATACCATGAATCAATAGGAATAGTGAATACAGTAAGGAAAAATGCACGGCATCACCCTTCGTACTTTTATTCTCAATCTCAACATAAAATTAATAGAAACGGCACGGCATCACCCTTCGTGCATTAACTCTCATATCATGGAATGACATCACCCTTCGTGCATTAACACTCACAATATGGCATGACATCACCCTACGTGCATTAACACTCACAATATGGCACGGCATCACCCTTCATGCATTATCACTCACAATATGGCACGACATCACCATTCGTGCATTAACACTTACAATATGGCACGGCATCACCCTTCATGCATTATCACTCACAATATGGCACGACATCACCATTCGTGCATTAACACTTACAATATGGCACGGCATCACCCTCCGTGCATTATCACTCACAATATTGCACGGCATCACCCTTCGTGCATTAACACTCTCCCTTACCATAATGAAATGCATAAATAACAACAGGGAGATAGAATAACAAGTACAGACCTTACTTCAATATTTGGTTCCATAATATCAATCTTAACTTTGAAATAAAAACTCAATTATCACCAGAAAATCCATAAACATGATAAAAACGATAAATTGAACAACACTAGTATAACACATAGCAATTTGGCATAGGAATGAGACAATATAAGAAAAATAGAGAAACATGGAAAAATAGGTAAATTGGCAGCTCATAAGTACTCGTCACCTCACATATACGCCGCTCACATAAATTTCACTTAGCAAGTAATCTATGGTTTCTAATTCCCCCAAGTCAGGGTTTGACACAACACTTACCTCGCTCCAAAAGCCACTTAATTCTCAATCACAGCTTTTCCTTTGGAATTCACCTCCAAACCACTCGTATCTATTCAAAAATGACTCAATAATATCAAATATTGCTAAAGGAATCAATTATATTGCATAAATTAAATTTCCCAAATTTTCCTCCAAAAAGTCGAAAAACCGACCCCGAGCCCGCTTGGTTAAAACCCGAGGTTCGGACAAAAATCCATTTACGCATTCATCCCCGAGCCCGAATATATAATTGGTTTTGTAATCCGACCTCAAATTGAGGTCTAAACTCCCAAATTCCCGAAATCTCTAGTTTCTACCCTAAGCCCTAATTCTACCATGAAAACTCTAGATTTTAGGTTAAAAATTCAAGAAATGTAATGGGTAATTGAAAGAAAATGGTTTAGAATCAGTTACCAACACTTTGGAGAAGAAATGACTCTTGAAAAATCGCCTCTCACCGTTTGGTTTTTGAGAAAAATAAATATTTGGCTAAAATCCCGTTTTTGGGTTCTGTTAAGTGCTGGTCGATTGTGTTCATCGCGTTCGCGAGAGCACTGTCGTGTTCGCGAAGTGTATGGGCTCCCAAACCTTCACGTTCACGAGACAGTGCTCGCATTCGTATAGACTACCCTTCCCTGGTCTTCGCGTTCACGAGTCATTGTTCGCGTTCGCGATGAAGAAAAAGCTGTCTGGCCCTCCCCAATGCCTAACACTATGCGTTAGCGATGGGTTTGTCGCGTTCGCGAAGAAAAAATCCTCAGCTACCCAGTTTACTCTTCGTGTTCGCGAGAGTACCTTCGCGAACGCGAAGAAGGACATGCCAGAACACAGACTCTGCACAAAAATAAGATTTCCAAAGTTGAAAACATCCCGTGGCCTATCCGAAACTCACCCGCGCCCTCGAGGCTCCAAACCAAACATGCCCACAAGTCTAAAAATATCATACGGACCTAATTGCTCAATCAAATTGCCAAAATAACACCTAGAACTACGAATTTAGCACCAAATCAAATGCAAATCTCAAGAACACTTTAAAATTTCTATTTTCTCAACTGGACGTCCGAATCACGTCAAATCAACTTCGTTTCTCACCAAATTTCACAGACAGGTCTTAAATATCATAACGAACCTGTACCGGGCTTCGGAACCAAAATACGGACCCGATACTAATTATGCGACCTGTACCAGGTCCCATAATTCTTTACGGACCCACCGGGACCATCAAAGCACGGATCCGGGCCCGTTTATCAAAAATATTGACCGAAGTCAACTAAAATCAACTTTTAAGGCAAAAATTCTTATTTTCATTAGTTTTCAACATAAAATCTTTCCAGAAACCTGCCCGGACTGCGCATGCAAATCGAGGAGGGTAAACATGAGATTTTTAAGGCTTAAGAGCGCAGATTCGAGTTCTAAAATATAAGATGACCTTTTGGGTCATCACAATCTTCAC